TTAGACAACAAAACTACTTAGTTAGGTTTAGACAACAAAACTACTTAGTTAGGTTTAGACAACAAAACTACTTATTTCAGTTGAGACAACAAAACTACTTAGTTAGGTTTAGACAACTAAACTACTTAGTTAGGTTTAGACAACTGAACTACTTAGTTAGGTTTAGACAACTAAACTACTTAGTTAGGTTTAGACAACAAAACTAATTAGTTAGGTTGAGACAACAAAACTACTTAGTTAGGTTTAGACAACAAAACTACTTAGTTAAGTTTAGGTAAAGATGGGGGTTTGGGTTAAAATCACTACAGAAGTTCTGTTACTGAAGTACAGAAGTTACATGACGAATAAATCAAAGTTGACTTATGGTTTCACACGATGTTGAAAGTAAGTCTTCCACTTTTCAACCATCTGCGTTTCTCTGAAGTTAAACTTCCTCTCTCACCTCGGCCGTGATGCTGCTGGAGGAGGAAGTCAGGAGGCGCTCGGTCGAGGTCAGCTGACCTGCAGGACGAAGAAACGAAAGCAGATGTTTGAGTGCAGCTGTGTCAGCAGCATGATGTCATGTTGAACACTTTAGACTCTGTATTTCCCTCAAAATAAATAAAGTTTCATCTAAACTTGTGAAGTATTGACTTAAAAGCAAAATCTGTTTGATCGTATGACAAATAAAATATACAATAGAATTGTATAATTTCCATGGAAACAGCATAAAATATGCAGAATAGAGCTAAAAATGTACCAAACCGCAAACATACATATATAATATTCAAAATGCTGGATGGACAAACAGACGTTAAGCAAAACAGAAATCTATATTCAGAAATATAATGTCCTTTCAATTAGCCTGTGACTCGTTTAATGCTTATTGCTAGCATGCACATAGCTACCACCAATGCTAATGGTTAGCATACACATATCCTAGTCTTGTCTATAAACTCTAATACACAAATGTTTGTAAGAGTTTATAATGTATTATGTCATCATAACAGACATTTTACAGCGCTTACCTAAACAAAATCATAACAATAGTCAGTAGCATCAGCCTTAGTGATTAGCATGAGCTAATTGAAAGTCGTTAACGGCCATCATGAACAGTAAGTTAATAACAGTAAAGTCTGGATACATGTAGACCGAGGCCAGCGGTTCATGTGAAGCTTTCTATGTTCTGTAACTGGAGCATGAAATCATGGTGGGATTAGTAAGCTAGCTAGCTAACTAGCTATCTGCTAAATGAGTAAAACTGAACTTAATGCTCATCAACACTCTTGTCTCAGCGTAGGAAAGATCTTTACTATCAGCAGATATTCAGAACTTCCAGGGTGGAGACACTTTGTGGTCTTTAGTGTAGAGAATGAAGATGTAGTATCTCCCTCTGTGTTGTACCTGTTGTAGAAGCCGTCTGATCTGTGGTCGTCTCTCTGGTTAACGTTGTTGATGTGGTCGTCTGTGGAGCTGAAACACAAAACAACAGCTGTGACTGTTCAATCAATCAATCAATCAATCAATCACCAACCTTTATATCTGACCCATAACTGCACTGGAAAAACACTCTATAAAGTTTCATTGTTATGCAGATGATACTCAATTATATCTATCGATCAAGATGAAACCAACCAGCTCGAAGACCTGGAAAAGCTGCAACTTCCTGATGTTAAACTCAGACTAAACTGAAGTTATCTAGCCCAGAAAACCACGAAACCAGTTATCTAATGATATAGTTTCTCTAGATGGCATTGCTCTGGCATCCAGCAGCACCGTAAAGAATCTCAGAGTTATCTTTGATCAGTCTGTTAAATCTTTCCAAGTGATCCAGAATGCTGCAGCACATGTACTAACAAAAAAACAACAAAAGGTTGTCCAGGTCTTTAGTTAGGGCTGGCTCAGGTTTATAGTTTATGGGATTCATAAAGTGTCCGTCTGCTAGCCAGTCAGACCTTCAGGATTTGATCACGATCAGTTGACAGGAAGTAAACATGGACCCAAACTGAACTGTCTATAAAAAAGACAAAAAGCGTAGAAACTATGGAACAACCTACCAGTGTAAACTCTGTTATATTATGAAAACGTTATTATCTAAATCAATAATTTCTCACCTTTCACAACGACCAAATCAAAGGGATGTTTCTCGTCGTTGAGCCATCCGGGTATGTGCACTCTGCACCCGTAGAGTCCAGCATCTGTCTCTGAGACGTTCAGGATCGTCAGAGAAACGTCTCCATCCTCCAGTCCTCCCAGTAACTGATACCTGCTGGAAACTTCCTTCACATTGTGTCCGTCGGTGGAGAGGAGCTGGTCGCTGCATCCTAAGATTGGTATTACACCTCGACCCCAACAGACGGACAGCGCCCCGTAATGTTTGATGTTGTATTTACAGGACAGAGTGACGTCTTCACCTGTTTGACCGACAACTCTGCTGCTGTCACTTTCACTTACTGTGGGACACAAACAAACGCTGTAAAATCAGATCTCAACCTGTTCTAATCTGCTGCTCTATCCGGTTTTATAATCCCTCAGGTTTGTCTGAAAGTCAAAAGAAATGAAAATAAAACCCAAACGTGTGTTTAAAAGTGTTAAATATGACGTAATATATAATTAAATATGATTAATATCAAAACTGACTGTCTGTCAAAAGAAAAAAGTACAAAAACAGAAAGAAGCATTTGTTTTCTACAAATCTACAAATAAATGCTGTGAAGAAGAAACTGTTATTGTGAGAAATATAAACAGAAACCAAACAGCCCGAGAAAAAAATTAAGTTTTTAAGTTCTATTAAAATGATTGATTTCTTGTAAATGGAGAAACGGTGATAAAGTGAATATACGTCACCTGTGAGGAGAGCGAGGAGCAGAACGATCTTCATCATGAACACACTGACACACTTTCATCAGACTCTCACATTTAAACTCACACTGAGTCATAGCTGCACTGCACACTGTAAAAAATGACCTGCTGCTGCTTCAGAGAGAAGAAAAAAAACACAATGAAAAAAGAAAGAAACAAAGAAAGAGATTTTTAAACATGTTTCTTTAAATCAGGCACAAATATAAGGATGGTACAAGGACCACATGGCTCGTAGCAAAAAATCTAGTTACCTCTTGTCCTTAGTACCCCCCACAGGACTCCCAGAGGGACACAGTTGTAAACCCTGATAATTGGAGTCCACTTTACGGTCTACCTGTTTAAAAAAACTAAACCACCACCCCGGTCTGCTACTCCAGAGGCATAGTCCCCAACCTCAAAGTGACACTGAAAAGGTGTTTATAAGAAAATAATGTAACAAAACATAACGTGACAAAACATAACATCCATCCATCCATCCATTTTCCTCCGCTTATCCGGGGTCGGGTCGCGGTGGCAGCAGGTCAAGCAGGCTGACCCAGACCTCCCTCTCACCGGCAACATGTTCCAGCTCATTCTGGGGGATCCCGAGGCGTTCCCAGGCCAGCTGGGAGATGTAATCTCTCCAGCGTGTTCTGGGTCTTCCCCGGGGTCTCTTCCCAGTTGGACGTGCCTGGAAAACCTCCAGTGGGAGGCGTCCAGGAGGCATCCTAATTAGATGCTGAACCACCTCAGCTGACTCCTTTTGACGCGAAGGAGTAGCGGCTCTACTCCAAGCTCCCTCCTGATGACCGAGCTCCTTACCCTATCTCTAAGGCTGAGCCCGGCCACCCTACGGAGGAAACTCATTTCGCCACTTGTAGCCGCGACCTTGTCCTTTCGGTCACGACCCAGAGTTCGTGACCATAGGTGAGGGTAGGAATGTAGACCGAGTGGTAAATTGAGAGCTTTGCCTTCCGGCTCAGCTCCCTCTTCACCAAGACGGTCCGGTGCAGCGCCTGCTTTACTGCTGCAGCTGCACCGATCCGTCTGTCGATCTCCCGCTCCATCTTACCCTCACTCGTGAACAAGACCCCGAGATACTTGAACTCCTTCGCTTGAGGTAGGCACTCCGTCCCCACCTGGAGGGAGCAATCCACCGGTTTCCGGCAGAGAACCATGGCCTCAGATTTGGAGGTGCTAACTCTCATCCCCGCCGCTTCACACTCGGCTGCAAACCGCCCCAGTGAATGCTGGAGGTCACGATCCGAGGAGGCTAACAGGACCACATCATCTGCAAATAGCAGAGAGGCGATCCCGAGACCCCCGAGACTGACGTTCTCCGCCCCCAGGCTGCGCCTAGATATCCTGTCCATGAAAATCACGAACAGAACCGGTGACAAAGGGCAGCCCTGGCGGAGGCCAACACCCACCGGGAACGTGTCTGACTTATTGCAGAGAATGCGGACACAGCTCCTACTGCAGTCGTACAGAGACCGGATCGCCCGTTGTAACGGGTCCGGCACCCCATACTCCCGGCCGGGACGGAATCCGCAGTGCTCCTCTTGAATCTGAGGTTCGACAAGCGGTCGGAGCCTCCTTTCCAGCACCCTGGCATAAGCCTTCCCCGGGAGGCTGAGTAGTGTGATACCCCGGTAATTCGAGCACACTCTCCGGTCCCCCTTTTTGAAGATGGGAACCACCATCCCGGTCTGCCATTCCATGGGCACTGATCCCGACCCCCATGCGACATTGAAGAGGCGTGTGAGCCAGGACAGCCCAACTATGTCCAGCGCCTTCAGCATCTCAGGGCAGATCTCATCCACCCCCGGCACCTTGCCACCAAGGAGCTTTTTAACTACCTCAGCGACCTCTGCCAGGGATATGGGTGAGCCTCCCCCTAGGTCCTCAGGCGCTGCCTCCTCTGCAGAGGACATGTTGGTCTGGTTTAGGAGTTCCTCAAAGTGCTCTTTCCATCGCCCGACGATGTCCTCCGCCCGGGTTAGCAGTCCCCCCCCCTGCTGAGAACAGCCTGGGGTAAGCCCTGCTTTCCCTTCCTGAGTCGTCGGATGGTTTGCCAGAACCTCCTTGAGGCCAACCGAAAGTCCTTCTCCATGGCCTCCCCGAACTCCTCCCATGCCCGTGTTTTAGCATTCGCGACCACCGCAGCTGCAGCCCTTCTGGCCTGCCGGTACCTGTCAGCTGCTTCAGGAGACCCCTGGGCCAACCAGGCCTTGAAGGTCTCCTTCAGCTTGACGGCTTCCCTCACCTCCGGTGTCCACCACCGGGTTCTCGGGTTGCCGCCACGACAGGCACCGATGACCTTCCGGCCACAGCTCCTAGCGGCCGCGTCCACAATAGAGGCTTTGAACATAGTCCACTCGGATTCCGTGTCCCCAACCTCCCTTGGGATGTGTGAGAAGTTCTTCCGGAGGTGGGAGTTAAAGACCTCCCAGACAGGGTCCTCCGCCAGACGTTCCCAGTTCACCCTCACTACACGTTTGGGTTTGCCGGGTCTTTCCAACCGGTTCCCCTGCCATCTGATCCAACTCACCACCAGGTGGTGATCAGTTGACAGCTCTGCTCCTCTCTTCACCCGAGTGTCCAAGACATACGGCCGCAAATCAAATGATACGATTCCAAAGTCGATCATTGATCTCCGGCCTAAGGTGTTCTGGTACCAGGTACACTTATGAGCCACCTTATGTTCGAACATAGTGTTCGTTATGGCCAAACCGTGGCAAGCACAGAAGTCCAATAACGAAACACCATTCGGGTTCAGATTGGGCAAGCCGTTCCTCCCAATCACCCCCCGCCAGGTTTCTCCGTCATCGCCCACGTGAGAGTTGAAGTCCCCCAGGAGAACTATGGAGTCAGTAGGCGGCGCCCTTTCCAGGACCCCTCCCACCGACTCCAAGAAGGCCGGATACTCCGAACTGCTGTTTGGTGCATAAGCACAAACCACAGTCAGAGCCTTGCTCCCCGCAACCCGTAGGCGCATGGAGGCGACCCTCTCGTTCTCCGGGGAGAACTCCAACACAGCGGCGCTCAGCCGGGGGCTCGTGAGTATCCCCACTCCCGCCCGGCGCCTCTCACCCTGGGCAACTCCGGAAAAGGACAAAGTCCAACCCCTCTCCAGGAGCTTGGTTCCAGAGCCAGCGCTGTGTGTGGAGGACAAAACATAACAAAACTAAACAAAAGGAAAACATGACATGGTGTAACATAACGTAACGTAACAAAACTAAACAAAATGTGACAAAACATACAGTAACATAATGTAACTTAACATGGTAAAACATAGCATAGCGTAATTTAACAAAACATAACGTAACAGAATTTAACAACGTAATTTAATGCAACAACACGTAACCGAACAAAACTTAACCTGGTCAAACAACAAAATGTAACGAAATGTAAGAAAACAATGTAAAAAAACAAATGTAACATGGTACAACATAACATGACTTAACTTAACATACATAATAAAACATCACATAAACACACATGTTTTCTAAAGTCTCCCTAAACATCTATGACTGTCGGAGAGAACTCGAGGTTCATGTTGTGAATCGAAACAAAACTAAATACGTGTGTAGTGACACTTAGGTTAAGTATTTAAATTAACTATATTAGATCGGGTGTCTTTATTCTACGTAGTCTGACTTCCTGCTTTGTTCTCGTCACAAATATTCGACCACTCGAGGTCGCCATCTGATAATAAATGTAAATATGTTTCGTGATGAGACTACGGCTGTTTGTTTAGGGAGGACTGTCTGCTTATAACAGCAAGTCATGTGATTCATTTAAATCTATATATATATATATATATATATATATATGTTAACTTCTGTAGTCAGTCACATTATAATGAATGTAAGATCATTATTTGAGTGTAAAGTCACCAGAGGGAGTATAAACATGTGGTCAGCTCATAACTAATGTAATGGTAAAATATGCATTTGATCTATGTGCCCTCGTTGTGAAACCGAAATGTACGTGTGGTTAAAACTATGCAGTAATGAGGAACTTGTAGTTGAAAGTCTCATCTTACCTTGAAACCGTAACTGATTCCCAGTTGAATGCATCTAGCAGGAACTAGATAATGAGCAGATCAAGACAGACTGTGTCAAAAGACCTGTACTCATGTATGATTTATCTGAGGAGTGGACCGCTGTATGTTGAATCTTGTACTTAGTCGAAGCTTTGCCACAGTCTACTGAATAGGTAGCTGTCGTATTCTCTTCCCTCTTGCAAGCGAATAAACAGACAAAGACAACTTTCAATCTTCTGAAGACTTTATTATTGATTTGTGAACAAAACTCTCTTCTCCCGATTAACAGAAATCTTCCACCACACTTCCTGTTGGCGGCGTTAGATGTTCACAGCTTCCTGTTTTCTGATTCTCTGACTCTCGTCTTTAACTTCATCAGAAGCTGAAAAAGGACAGCAGAGATCCACACTTGTCAAAAAAGAGGGTTGAGATCCCAGGAAAGCTGCCTTAAATGAAGGAATGATATGAAAGTAGGATAAAAGGACACAAAGCATATAATAGTAAGGATGAAATCACAGTAATCATTTTAAAGCAAGTATGTATAACATAAGAATAATGAAGTGATTTAACAAATGTAAACTGATAATAATAATGTATGTATAACTGAGTAAAGTGAAGTCTGTGTGTGGGTGGAAAGAGCTGATGTAAGCAGGGTGGTAAGAAATATCTGCAGCTCAAACTGAATTTATTACAATTAACAAAAATAATCTTTTAACCATCACTTAGTCGACTGAGAGGAGGAAGCTCCTCCCACAACATGTTCAGTTCTGCATCTCCAGTAAACATGTTTAAGAAAATTTGAGAAAATTAGGGAAATAATTACGACATAACATTCAATTATAATTGTTTCTCCTTAAAATAATTATTTACAATAAACTGAGATAAAATTTCACCTGAAAGTATTAGTTTGGGCAAAGCATTCATTTTGTATTTCCTTACATATCAATGAATAAATGTAAATATATTTATATTCATGATGTATGTGTTATGAATGCAACAATAAAAATGTTTTTTATATTTATCTGCCCCAAAATTATTCAATTTAAAACATATTTTGAAAAGCTAATACATGTAAATATTAATACGGCTACCATGGAAGCCACCAAAGTGTCTTTTTTAATGCTACAGCGCCCCCTACAGGCGTCGGCCTTCATTACAGCCTCCACATCAACCTCATTTGAGAAAACTAGTTAAAAGAAGTTAAAACATTTTGTGAAATCATCAACTCATTAGTCAAACTAATAAACGATGATTTTTTACTTCAAATTAATGATAAAAGTTGAGTTGAATTAACATTTTAAAGAGCAGAGAGCAGGCTGCAGTACCACCTGTGGCCACAGAGTGTAAGTCTATAAACTCATGGCGCTGTTTCCACGTGTTGGCAAATGACAGAAAACTGATATGAACAAACACAATTTTACTTTTATCACTTTAAAAGACACCAAAACTAAAACAAGATGATGACATTATGGATTCCAGTGGACATTTAGTAGTCCAACAGAAGATTAACAGAACATTTAGATTAAGTCAAATTATTTATATCTTAAGTTAAAGATACAAATATATATGTGATAAGATATTTATTATCTGTGGTTACTTATTGTAGCATTTTAATCCACTACACTGCAGTTATGGACATCCAGCGCTGATTCATTGTGAGAAAAACTTGAAACATTCATTTATTATTGATTAAATATTGGTCAAATAATTATAAAGTAAAGATGATTGGAGGTATAAACACGACTACAAATCAAAAGGTATAAATATTTGCAGTTAACATTGACAGCAACGCTGAGATATAAATGTATGAATATGGTCAAATAATCACGAGGATCCAGTTTAAGCTGAATGTTTAGATTTTTGTTTTAATAAAATGTGTTTCTCTGACTTCAGGAGGACATTCATAGGACATTCCTGTTTCTACACGGAGCTCCGCCTCCTCCTCCTCTGATTGGTTCACCCTCCTGTCGCTCTGTGACCTCCAAACACCTGCACACGCACACACACACACACACACACACACACACACACACACACACACAGGTTGATATGATAAATAATGACTTAATTTTTTGTTATTTATTGACGGTTTGCTATATTTACTGTTCTTTGTTTTTGTAATTCTTGTTTTGTTATTTGTGTGTGTGTGTGTGTGTGTGTGTGTGTACTGACTGTAAGCAGCGGTCAGCAGCAGAGCAGGAATGAAGATGATGAAAGAGACTCTCACAGTGTTTCCGATGAAGCTCTGCAGACTGTTGACCTGCTGCTGCTCGGACGACTGACAACAAACAAACATGCAGGTCAGCTAGCTCAGAGGAGAGCGTCGTAACGTTAGCTAGCTCAGAGGAGAGCGTCGTAACGTTAGCTAGCTTAGTGGAGAGCGTCGTACTGGGACGTGTTTGACCGTGGCACAGCGACAGCAGAAGGACACGTGAAGCGGCAGAAGTCGCTAAAAGTGTTAAAGTAAAGTAAAGTCGAAGTGTTACGGTTTAAGTTAAAGTGATCATCTTTGATCGTGTGTTTCAAGTGGACTCATTTCCCTTTCGGTTGTGTGCAGCCAGTGAGGTGCGTTATGCTTGTAAACTCATTATCGTGCATATTTGCGGGCAAGCTGTGTTTTATGTAATGTTAACGTCAGATTCTTTTGTATGTCTAAATGTATTTATACAGTTTGACGGTGGATAGAGGACGGTGCTGTTGAGTGTATTTCCTGGAGGGAGTGATAGATATTAATTGTTTGTGTTTAGTCTCTGTCACCTGAACCAGAGCCACCATTGGTCCTGTGGAGTTCTCCCCCGTGACATCACTTCCTCTCTTCTCCGTCACCTCCCTTGTTTTGTAACCTGTCAATCAGATGAGACAATATAAAATAAAATAAATCGCCAAAACATACTAGCCGGTCCCTGCAGGTGTGTCTACACCTTGAAGGTCCGTCTGGTGCTCACCTGGTGTGTGTGGTGCGTTCAGGTTCCCGGCATCCCCAGCGTCTGAGGAGTCCGAGGCGAACGCACGGTCGATGACGATGAGGTGCACGCTGGTTGTCTGGTCGTTGAACAAACCGGTCAGCTGAACTCTGCAGTGATAGAAACCAGAGTCTGACGGTCGAGAGGTGGAGATGGTCAGAGATGAGGACGAGGACACGGAGTACCTGAAGGCCACATCACAGTCTTATTTTAATTACAGCTGATAGTAGGAACTTTTAGTTAGTGGTGATTCTGGTGGCCCCTGTGGACTAAAGTGGTAGTGTTTCTAAGCACCAGAGTCCCTTTAAAAAAGGGTCTGACAGGAGATGTGAGTTGGTCTCAGATCAGGAGACACCTGGTACCTGAGTGACTTCCTGTATGCGAGCTGGTCTCCGGCGGCCTGGACCACCGTGTCGCGGCAGGTGAACAGTGACGGTTGGCCCCTCCCCCAACACACCTCCACTCCTCTCTGATTCGCTGCCTCCGAGCGACACTGCAGCTTCACCGCCCTCCCAGCCACGCCCACCACCGTCTCCGTGGCGACCGCCGACATGCCTCAGAGGACAAAGGAGACATAAGAAGGACACTTGTCTATCTTCTTCTATTATTCAGACACATCTTGTTATGATCTTATTAAATGTATTCACACATTCAACAGACTCCTTAATTAAAAAGGAGGAGAGAGGAGACGGGAGGAGGAGACAAGGAGACGAGAAGAGAGGAGAGAGGGGATTAGGGAGAGGAGAGGAGACTAGGAGAGAGGAGAGAAGACGAGGAGACGAGGAGACAAAGAGAGGAGACAAGGATGTTCGATGTTTTTGTTCAATGTTTAGGTTTATGTTCACATGTGTGTGTGTATATATATATATATATATATATATATATACACACACTTTTTCTTTTGGATATATATTTATACTTATATTGTATATAGCTGTTAAATGTTTATACCTACATCTGTTCTACTGTTTTTGCTGCCCTTTTTTATTCTTTATATATATTTTTTTGTTGTTTATTGTAAATGTGTGTTTGTACATTGAGAGCGGAGTGGAAACCGGAGTCAAATTCCATGTATGCGTACACATACATGGCCAATAAAGCTGATTCTGATTCTGAGAGAGGAGATGAGGAGATGAGGGGAGAGGAGACGAGGAGATGAGGGGAGAGGAGACGAGGAGAGAGGACCGCCGACATCAGAACATTGTTCATCTTCTTCCACACATCAGACACATCTGGATGTTATGATCTCATCAAATGTTTCCACACATTCAACAGACTCTTTAATTATTCATCAAAGATTAAAACAACGATACAAAGTGTCCACTTTATTAGGGACACGTCTCTAAAAACACTCTGTGTTTCTATTATTCTGTCCACCCCTCTGAGCAGCTCCAGACTCACCTGAGAGGACGAAGACACGGACGAAGGTGTGGAGAAGCAGCCGCAGCATGTTGTCGAGTGTCCTGCAGACAGACAGACTGACACACTCAGTGATGTCACTTCCTGTTTCCATCCTGATATTAATAGACTGAGCAGAAGAAGAGTCACTTTGTTTCACTTCTTCTTTTAAAAACTTCATGAAGCTGTTGTTCAGAAGAAAGATGGTGAAACGCGTTGAAGAACATCCACTGAAAATATGTTGTACTAATATATATATATTATGATGTATTTATATTTCCAGTACCAGGAATGTGATTAGAGAGGAATGAGGAGACGAGAGTCCAAGAACAACTCACCTCTGACCTGATGTCTGAAAACACTGAAGACTTTATTCCTGAGGGTTTCACTGAGGAGACGAGGAGAGAGGGGGAGGAGAGAGGGGGAGGAGAGAGGAGACGAGGAGAGAGGAGAGGAGAGAGGGGGAGGAGAGAGGAGACGAGGAGAGAGGGGGAGGAGAGAGGAGACGGGGAGAGAGGAGAGGAGGAGAGAGGGGGAGGAGAGAGGAGACGGGGAGAGAGGAGAGGAGGAGAGAGGGGGAGGAGAGAGGAGAGAGGGGGAGGAGAGAGGGGGAGGAGAGAGGAGATGGGGAGAGAGGGGGGAGGAGAGAGGGGGAGGAGAGAGGGGGAGGAGAGAGGAGATGGGGAGAGAGGGGGGAGGAGAGAGGGGGAGGAGAGAGGAGAGAGGGGGGAGGAGAGAGGAGATGTTGTTTACTAATCAGTTTCACACAAAACTAAAAGGAGCTAATGGAGGAGCCCACATGAGCTCTCAAGTTTCTTAATTGTCATTTCCTCGCTCCTCGCTCGAACCGGAAGTTGTTCCATATTGACGGGCGTCCCAAAGCTCTTCTTTCTGCTCTGAGGAGCCATGAGCTAGGAACCACGAGAACTTCCAGGAAGTCTTTTAACGGCCGACACGCCCCCTCATTGTTCATCAGTCATGTGATTGGACGCTGCAGCCGATCGGACTGACTGACTCTGAGTTTAACACCAGAGTGAAGACGGATCAGAATAAACTCTAGTTTATATTTGATTAGGTTTCTGATTTAACATCTGGTTTAAATAAATGTTCATTGTAGTCTGAACAACAAAAGGACCACAAACAACTTTCTACATTTATTAGAAAGATTTGTGTTTTCATGATCTGATGTTTCCCTCAATAACTTTATTATGAATACAATTAAAGTCAGAGAGAGCTGAGAGATGAAACCCTTTATTTATATATATATATATATATATATATATATATATATATATATGTGTGTGTGTATGTATATGTATTTATGTATATATTAGTGCTGGGCAACGATTAAAATATTTAATCGCAATTAATCGCATGGATTTTTTGCGATTAATCTCATTGTTATGCAAAGTTCAATAATGAATTCAAAAGTAGTGTATTGCGCACTTTTATTTTAAAAGTACTGCTATATGAACCAAAGGGCAATAACATTTGGTTCACGAGATGCAGGCAGCATGTTTTATACTTAATGTGAATATAATTCATACTTTGTTGTCATCTTATTCTGAAAACCGGATGTTCATCTGAAGAAACCGGATGTTGTCTCACGTTAATCTTTCCGCTAACTTTCAAAGTCCTTCGCTCGCTCCCGATCTGTGGCGTTTAAATGTGTTTACCGTGAATGTCAGCATATAGGTGCACTAACATGTAAGTGTCTGCTGAGTTGACCACGGAGATCTGAGTGTCTGCTGACTTTACCGCAGCGATGTCCAGTAGTCTCCAGGGAGAGCAACAGCTGGTGCAGCTTCTCTCTTTATTTCTGCCCCCCCTCTCGACCAGAAGTGGAAGTCGCCTTTTCTCTACGGCAACCCTGAAGGGACATATCATCTCCAATACAAAACGATAAACATGAGACAGTCTGTTACAATAATAATAAATTAAAAATATTTAACTGTTTTTTGTTGTTGTTTTTTAATTATTATTATTATTATTATTTTTCCCATCTCAAAAGGCTCAAGGACACACACACACACACACACACACACACACACACTACTGACTATAGGATGTTTGCTGGCTTTTATCCCACTGTTCTTGTCATCCTCTTGTTGTTATGTATATGTATTGTCTTTCAAAAAAAAAAAAAAAATTATAATAAATTTAAAAAATGCGTTCACGCGAGATAAAATAATTGTCGGCGTTAATTAATGAATGCGTTAACGCGAAATTAACGCGTTAACTTGCCCAGCAATAAAATATATATATATATATATATATATATATATGTATATATATATGTATGTATGTATGTATGTATATACATATTTCCTCGTTCCTCTCTCCTCGCATGGTTTCCTCCATGCATCTCTGGTGGGAGGGACTAAAAAGGACGCAAGTGAGGGAAACGGGGATGCAGTTAAGAGACTTGAGATGTGCCCTTTATGTTTGGTCTGGAGGCCTTCAGGCGTCTCCTTGGGTGCTCAGATGGAAACGCTTGAGTGTCTCTAGAGGACCTGAGAGCTCTCTGAGTCGGTTCTTCTTCTGCGCTTCAATGACGGTGAGGATGAAAACACTACGAGAGAGAAACATGACGACACAAACAGGAAGGGAATCAACCAGAGAGCTGAAAGACACCGCTGGTACGGTGGTCCATGAAGGCAGCACCCAACACACTAATAAAGGACAGAAGAAGAAGAGGTCACACTCACACACACACACTAGTATTAAACAGCATTAAATAAATGGTTCCAGCTGTTCATTAGACACCAGTGAGGGTGGTCTGACCTCTCACCACTCTTCTTCTCTGGTTTTTAAAGAAGCGGCAGGATAAACAAAGGCTCCTGTACGGCAGCCCTGCAGGGACAAAACTCCTGGTCTCTAAAAAGTAAAAGCATCACATGTCACGTGACTCACTGCACCACACTCCTCACATGAGCTCAGTGATTTAGGAGAATGATATTAGAGGTAATCTACATTTGATCTAATTTAATACATGTTATATTCTCCAGATCAATCTATTGATTGATTTATTAAAATAATATATTTGAACATTTACTTGTATATTTATTTGTTAAATGTGTAGTACTCTGAAGTATCTATAATCAAATTATTATAATAATAATATTAATTATTGTGATGAAAAATAGTTATTGTATATTGTTATTTGTGTTTTATTTGTTTGTATTGTTGTATTGAAGAGACGGCGAACTGAAGTTGTAACCCAGCGGGAAGTGTTTTAATAAGCACAAGCCAACATACAACGAGTTCAGCAAATCCAAACAAATCCCACGTATTACTTTACACAGATTACTTCTGTAGTCAAACTTCACCCCTTTAAGTCACTTTCCACCAATCAAACCAGTGGGTTGAACCACAAACAGAGCACCCTGGTCTCCTCACTATGTCACGCTCTCATGACTTTCTTTGGGTCGAGATAACCTTTTGGCAGAACACACGATTCGTGTACGGGAAATATTTGGACACACATTGGAGTCACAGATTACAGTTAGTCCGGCGCCTTCATCTCTTCCTCACAATGTTTTTATGAACCAAATGTGTTCAGTTCAATCCTGAGTTATATGATGATTTTCTTCAACAGGATGTATCCTATAGTGTTTATCTTTATATATATATATATATATATATATATATATATATATATATATATATAAAGCACTTTAAAGCTCTGACTCTGAGAGCAACTGCCTTTTTTTCCAGCACTTCTCATCAAAGCGGATCTGTTGAGACCAGATGTGTAAACATTGAACCTCCACAGGAAGAGAACATCTGCTTACTTTACATGTCTTCAAGTAGATGAACTGTTTTTAAAGAACAATGCTGTTTCCTGTGTGACAGAAGGAACATGAAGAGAACATCTTTACATCAAACGTGAGATTGTTTTATGGTTTTACAACAACAGAATACTTTCTGTTCTCTGGTGAAAATAAAACGTGTTTTCTTAATATTAAAGTCGATGTTTTCCTTTGAGGGGAATTAAATGCTAACATTATACAGAGTCTCATGTTTCTGTTCCTGGTTTCTGTTTCTGTTCCTCGAGGATGAGGAGACGGGGAGACGAGGATGAGGAGACGAGGATGAGGAGACGAGGATGAGGATGAGGATGAGGAGACGAGGATGAGGAGACGAGGATGAGGATGAGGAGACAAGGATGAGGATGAGGAGACGAGGACGAGGATGAGGAGATGAGGACGAGGAGACGAGGATGTGGATGAGGAGACGAGGATGAGATGAGGATGAGATGAGGAGATGAGGATGAGGAGATGAGGAGACGAGGACGAGGATGAGGAGACGAGGATGAGGAGACGAGGACGAGGATGAGACGAGGACGAGGATGAGGAGACGAGGCTGAGGATGAGACGAGGACGAGGATGAGGAGACGAGGCTGAGGAGACGAGGATGAGGATGAGACGAGGACGAGGATGAGGAGACGAGGCTGAGGAGACGAGGATGAGGATGAGGAGACGAGGAGGGCCGTCCTGTTCTGCTCTTTGCTTTCTTTTAATCTCATTTGGGTTTTTTCGGCGCGTGACTAGAGTCAGAAGAAGAAGAAGAAGAAGAAGAACGAGAGGGATGAGAAATAGATGCTGTCGTAAAGTTCTGAAATGTCTCAGTGGAGAATAAAAATAGTCTGAAAAAGTCATAAACACAGTGTGTGTGTATGTGTGTGACTGTGTGTGTGTATGTGCATGTGTGTGACTGTGTGTGTGTATGTGTACGTGTATGTGTGTGACTGTGTGTGTGTGTATGTGTGTGACTGTGTGTGTGTGTATGTGTGTGTGTGTATATGTGTGTGTGTGTGTCTCTGCCTGTTCGAGGTCTTTTTAAGGAAAAAAACATTCAGACTGTGATTCATCATCTGCTTCGGACTCCAGCTGGACCTCATCTTCATCCTCCTCCTCATCCTCAGCTCCACCTGCTGATCATCATCTTCATCCTCATCTTAATCTGCTCTCCTCCTCTTCCTCCCGTTATGTAACGTGTTGATCTCAACTCTTCTTCTCTCTGTAGAACTTCGTGTACATTTCACCACGTTTAGTGTTCAGCTTGTTTTTCATAGAAATGAACTTCATAAACTCATGGAGACCATTTAACACGATTAAACTGCTTTCTTTAAGCATTAAGCTTTAATTATGTTGGTCCAACTTAATTTACTTGGGTCGGATGAACTTAACTTATTTTATTAGAACTCATTTTAAAGGAGTAAATTAAGTTGATCAACATAATTAAAGCTTAAATTATCTCCATCAGTTTATTAAGTTCATTGAAAGTGTTGTTTTGAGTTCATCAACAATTTAAAGGGTTATATTATAAAGAGACACTTCTACTGGTGGAGAACTAAGCTCCTCATCTTCCTCCTCCAG